ATCAAAAACAGTTTTCCGTGTTTGATACTCTGATCAAAACACGCGGGATGTTGGGAGAACACAAGAGGAGCGTAGGAAACCACGACGCGTAGCGGAGTGGTTTCCAGCTTCTCGAGTGTTCTCCCAACATCCCAAGTGTTTTAATCAGAATATCAAGCACAGAAAACTGTTTTTGATTTGTTTTATAAAATAACAAACGCGCGAAAAGATCGAAATAAAGCAAAGTCTAAGTAAATTCTCCCTACGTGCCGTCTTATTCAAACTGACCAATGAGCGCGCGCGATATATTGAAAATGACGATAGCGTGTTTTGATACTCTCATCAAACATGGTTTTCGACCAATCCTAGCGCGCGTAGTATACCAATTATTTTATAAATCCAGTTAAAGAGAATCGAAAATATAAATGGATGGGAAAAAGATGATTCATTATTAGCAGAACATGATAGCCTACAAAAAAGTTTAGAAAGCCAAAGTAATCATATAACTGAAGGGATAAAAATGCGTTCCAAGGTTAAATGGTATGAGCAAGGTGAAAAGAGTAATAAGTACTTTTTATCACTTGAATAAAGAAATAAAGCAAAGACACACATAAAGAAATTAATAGACGATGATAAAAAGGAAATAACTAATCCGAAAAGAATAATGGAAATGATCGAAAATAATTTCAAATCTTTATTAAGTTAAGTCACGTAAATCGGTGTTTGAATGTGTAGATTTTCTGGAAACATTGGAAGTACCTCAAGTAGTCGAACAAAAAAAAATTATCAGTCCAAGAATGCTACGTAGCTCTCATCCAAATGGGAAACTCAAAGACGCCTGGTAACAATGGTCTAAGCAAAGAATTCTACGTAGTAATGTGGCCAGAGATTAAAGACGACTTAATGAAATGTCTGAATGCCAATTTCGAAAATAAAACATTATCCACTTCGCAAAAACAAATAATCATCACCTTATTAGAAAAGCCAGGTAAAGATAATCGGCGGATTGATTCWTGGAGACCAWTTRGTTTAATTAACGTCGATGTAAAGATCTGCAGTAAAGCTCATAGTAACAGATTGAAAACAGTACTACCCTATTTAATTCATAGTGATCAGTCAGCGTTCATCAAAGACCGTAGTATTAACGAACCAATACAATTGATACGTGATATTRTGAGTTATGTTAAAACACATCGASAGGAATTATTACTTTTTGCTGCTGATTTTGAGAAAGCTTTGGACTCACTAGAACACAATTTTATAGTAGCAACCCTAAAAA